TCTGCCTCAGGTGATGCTTGGCAGTGTGGCTGCTTTGAGTAGGCTGTGGGGAGTCATTCACCATCCTGTTGCTCATCACATGATAGTGATGACATTCTAATAGCCTGTAGAATTTCCTGTGGTTGCCCAAAAACAGTCCCGCAAAAAGAGCATTCATATGCTATGACAGCAAGGTTGTTTCAGGTGAGACTCAGTTCCTCATCTGCAAGATGAGGATTCTAACAGTGGTCTGCCCTACAGGGCTGTTGTAACACATGCTGTGATAAGGAGATAATGTCTGTGTAGTGCATTGAACTAACAGTGCCAAAGACATGTAAATATTTTTACAGATGACAATAGTGGGTTTGTGATGAATGTTCAGCCAAACCTTCAAACATTCTCAGAGTTGAAGACAAACTGAACTTAAACCTGGAAAAAGGAAATAAAAATGGGGTGGACAGATTTGCACACCCCTTACTGGCTGCCGTACCAGACAGAAGGCCCTGTGGCAGCTTTTCTGAACCTCTTTTCTATTCCTGCTCACCGTAACCCATCCAGTTCAGGGAATGCTGGGAGCTGTAGTTCAAAAGATGTCAAGGGTAGCAGGGTGTGGAAGGCTGACTGTGGGCAGAATGACTCTGCCACACAGCCTTGCTCTTCCCAAGGACCATTCTCTTTAGAAAGGGTGTGAGCAATCTGCTACTCACAGGGTCGGAAAAGTGTTTTTCCCTGAAGTGAAAGGAATCAAGGGGTAAGGATCCTGGGCCCTCCTGTTAAAGATAGCTCCTATGCCCCTCCCCATCCAAGATGCCAAAGACCCTGGAATTTTATTCCCCACCCTGTAGATCAAATCAATCTTTGCCACAAAATCTGGCCCAATTTTACTTTTGCGACTTATTCAGGGGTTTCTTGAGCTCTGCTAATGTGAAAAGGTTTTAACAGAAGTTTTGAAATGTGCAGTGACAGAGATACCTCTAACAGTTAGCTGAAGTGCAAGTTCGGAAGGCAATGTCTTTTATGGGGCTTTGGCTACAGACAGCATAGAAGCTATGTTTGGAAAGGGTAAACAGGAAAGAATGCCCCTTTCTTACGTCATTTATAAGCTAAGCTGATACAGGGCCAGGCGGCATTCCTGGGATATTATTTTAGAAAGCTGGCTTCAGAATAGGGTGTGCAGAGCTTTGCTGCCACGGTGTCTCACCACCCGGACAATCGTGCCTTCGGTGCATTTGTTCACATTATCTGTCCTGTCTGGCCTGCGGTTTCACTGTGATAAAAGCACATTGCTAACACACCAGAACTAATCTTTGTCACAGCTGCTGCTGCTCCTGGCTCTTATTGCTCTGTCATGTCTCTTGTCTGCTCTCGCTGAAGCTGTCCTAGTAGCAAGGTCTTGAGCTCTATGCCTGGAGATGCTCCTGAAGAACTTGTGGCCATTAACGCATTTCACGAACAAAACCCACATCTCAGCTTTGACCTGAAATCTGATAGGCAGTTGGTAGATCCGGGGGCAAGTTCAGGGTGGCCCTTTCTCTCCATCCCACACACACCAACACATGGGCCAGTGCAGACCTTTTCAAATAAGTTATAAGGGCAGCCCAATCTGAACTGCACTCGAATAGACCGCTTGAGAGGTTGGCTATTCCATGAAGGATGATTGCAAGAGCTTGGCTTACATATAGGACTGCTTTAAACCGTTCCATGTGGTGATAGTTACTATAGGGAGAAATTCTGGGTGGTGAATTTTTCTGTTTTTATGTCCCCACAGCCTCACCCATGTGGCTATGGTTCAATCCATCTTAACAGCTTGCGTATGTGCCAGTTTGCAATTTAATGATTTCGGTGTTACCGGTCAAAGAACTAAGAGACCTTTACAGATGCCAGGACCATGTGTGAAGGGCTAACATAGGGAGGGGGAGCAAGAGTGGAGCCCTCAACTTGCATTGATGCTGAATGCCCCAGTATCCTTTGAAAGGGAAAGCCTAGCTGGATGGCTCCCTTGTGCTTGATAAACCCACATGCCTGGGGGAGCGGGGCTGCAATTCCCTGCAGGAGAGGAAATGTTGGCATTCACTGTGGGAAGCTGCAAGGGAGGTTTACTCAGGGTTTCCTAACACCTGGAGACAGGCCTGTAGAATCCCTCAACAACTCCAGGTTCTGCTAAGTGTTTAAAAACAAAATAGAAAGCACTCACTGTAACCTGGATAGGAGGTTACTGCAAAGTAGCTGGAGCTCATATATTAATAAAATGTGCTTTTACATTTTTCTCAGGGTATGAAACAGTCAAAGGCCCAGTCTGGGTTTAAAAATGCCTTATTTCATTGCCTTATTTTATGTTATAAAAATGAAAATCAAGGAATCTATTTCAAAGGGGTCAACAATCAAGGATTTGGGATCCAATTGAACTTTTCTATAAATGTGGGAGTGTTTGCATCAATGCATTATTTATAAAATTTAAATCCTCTCCTTCCCTCAAGCAAATATGGAAGCAAAGTCAGGGTGGTAGATGCAGCCAAGATAGTGGGACATCCAATGAATGCCTTCTAAGAAAATAAAAGATTTGGGGCAAAGTCTTCCACATACAAGTCTAATGCTTTCCCCAAACCATCATATTTCAGGAGGGCTGATTACATCATGGAAATAAGAAATGTAGGAAACATAAACACTTGTAGTTGGCAAATGTGGGAGGGGGAGAAAATACTGGGCAGCCCTTCTCAAATGTGTGCAATTCAATACATTTTGTAGCAGTCCCGGGTTATTCCTGGCATCTCCAGGTAGCAGGACTTGGAAGGAATCCTGCTTGAATTGTGGAGGAGCTGTTGCCAGTCAGTGTTGACAGTAATGGCATAAATGGACCAAAGCTCTTGACTCATATATGGCAGCCTACAACCTTCCTTTTATAATCTCTCCCATGAAACTGAAATAACAGAAAGACAGTGAACCAAAAAAAGAAAAAAAATTGTTTATGGTCACCCGGCATTAAAATAATTACAAATTTTGGAGACTTTAGAGCTTTCCTGATACCTTGAGGTAGGGAACTGTATCTGAGATGGTCTTTAAGTGGGCCTCAAGAGACTTATTTAGTACAGTTGAATGTGGATTATTTATATGCTGTATGAGTGGTTAGCTTTGCTATTGCATTGCCTTCAGCTTTTATTGCTCTTTTATTGCCCTGGTGTGGAGGGTTTTTGCAGGCGCTGCAGTTTTAAAGGGTTCATCTCCACTTTTTATTTTTAAGTCCCCTATTTTATTTTTTTTACACTGCCAAGTGCAATTTGACACATAGCACAAAATAAAGTGAGGCTCAGGCATTAGACATCAAACAGCAGTGGGAGGAATTGTGAAAAGTAGTGAATAATTCTTGAACAATAAATAATCAGCACTTGGAAAATATGTAAATAAAAAATCAGAAGTGCTCCTTGGATAAAAACAGGAAGAAAATACCAATCACGTTTAAATTTACTTTTTCAACAATATGCATTCTAACATGTGAACAGTAGCCCACATGTTGAAAACTCACAATACAAAACCAGTTCAGGAGAGGGCAGTTAGGCTCAAAGGAGAGGAATGTGTGTGCTTAAAATCTTTTCTTACGTGAAAAGCCTCCACCAGCCTACACACTTCCATTTTGGAGGGCGTGTTGTTTTCGCAGCAGAAAGCCCCACTAAGCCAAGACTGCCCCACTTCAACCAATGAGCCGCCAACCTGCTTACCTGTTGCTGTCCTTGGGAAAAGGTAGCGGAAAAGTCTTTGTCTCCCTTTCCTTCCAGTGCCCGGCATCTTGGCCAGAGCAACACAGAGTACCTGGCACCTGGGAGGGAAGAGATGTCTGCCCTTGATGGAGCACTGGCTGTTGGAAGGGAGGGGGCGGGTGGAGACTTGTAAGGAAGAAAGCATTCCTGTGGATGGGAGTGACCATCCCATTTCACTTGGGTTTTCTAAGCCAAAAACTCAGAGGGGTGCGACTGCCCATTAACATTCAAAGCAATTTCTCCCTCGATCTGCTGTTCTTGCAGCACCATCTGGGGGCTCTGTTCATCTTCATTATTCATGTTATGAACCTAATACTGACTCTGTAATGTCACCTGCCTAATCAGGTGTGGCCACCAGAGGAGACCAGGGTAGGCCAATAAGGCAATTTGCTCTGCACGTGTGCCTTTCTCTGCCTCTCTGAATTGCTGTACATGTGTGTTCAGGTAGAGACATGTGTCACAAAAGTGTGTCTTCAAAATTAGCACGATACACAGTATTGGCACAATCAGATTATTCATCCCAAAATACAGAGGAAGGCCTTATTTTTCTTTCAACCTATTATCAATGTAGTTGTGTCAGCAAAACAATAGTAGACAGTTCAAGGCACAATTATGTTTAAAAAGGAAAGAAATCCTCCAGTGATCAGCATTACTTATGGGAGCATGCTTACTAATGTCTTATTTTCTTTTCCTTAATTGGAAACGATGGGAAATAAAACCAGCAGAAAGGCCTGGAAAAATAAATAAATAAATAAATAAATAAATGAGAACACACGGATAGTAGAAAGTTGACCTTTCTTCATGAGGTCAAGTAGCTTTATTGTGATTTAACACTACAATACAGTAGATATCCATAAAAAAACCTCTATAGTGTATATAAATTATTCCTTCCATTCAGCAATTTTTAAAATGTCCATTACAACTTTGGTACAATGTGGTTTTATTATATTTTTAAATACTTTTCGCTTCACAAACTGAACACAAAGTACAAAACTAATCTGCATTAGGGATATTGTAATCTACACAGTGGTGTTCAGTGGTAGGAAAAAATCTTACCTCGATGAGTTCATGTCAATCGCTAAGCTATAAAGGCATACCTAGCAGACATGACAAAATATGCACCATTAACCAGTAAACAACTTAAAAGGTGTTGTTGTTGTTTTTACATATTTCCAGCAGCACTGTCTCTATCCTTTTTTTCATTCTCCTTTTCATTTGAAGGCCATGAGTTAGTTGTCATTAAAAAAAAATGCACAGCTACCTTTATATATCTGTACTAAGAATTCACAGTTTCAGTACTTGACCTGCCATCCGGGATTGTTAATATTTGCACAGTTTGTCCTGCAGTTGGCAGAGATAACTGGGACATTGTTAGAAGGACAGTGTGGTGCAATCAAACGTAGATTGTTCTGTGGGGAGGGTGGGATGACATTACAGTAAACGGGCATTCCAGTGGCTGTAAGTGTTCCTTGACCTGATTGATTAGGTAGTATAATTGGCTGTTGATACGACTGTTGCTGCAGTCCTTGAGAACCCTGGGTCATTGGCACCTGGAAGACAGCACACGAGAAGCAAATTAAAGTGCAGAAGAACCCAGCTCTCCCAAAACATTCTCTTTGCTTGCTTTTCAGTATTAGATTTGACCAGAGCAAATGCCACAACCTTCTATTCCTGTCTATTCGAGTTCTGTGTCCTCAGATATTTAAGAACTGCCCATCTGAGAATACTTGGTGACTTAATGAAAACTGGGGGTACACATTGGTCTTCTACCCTCCTTCTTTTTTTTTCTTCTCCTCTTCCATTCCAGAGTACACCTTAGTTCACTAACAGCAGTAATTTAAGGAGTGAGCCAATCTTTTAAAAATAAGGTTTCTTTATGCTGAGGTGGGCAACTAGGGAGAAGAAACCAAGACAGGGGAATGGAAACTGGAGGAACATTAATATCTAAAGCTGGGTTACAGTGTTTGAAATCTAGTCCAATATTACAGTGATAACAACTTTTGTTTGCACACATGTCCTTCCAGAATTAACTAAACCAAACTTACATTCATAATGAGTATATAAAATGCTATTTCATGCAGTGTGTAGAACTACAATATTGGACCGGCACAGGTTTTTGGTAGCAAAATAGGACCTCTCTCTTTCTCTGTGTGTGATTTAATAAAATATAGACTAAGATGTTGAATTGGTGTAATGCAGATAATTGTATAGCTGTATAAGAAAGACTAACAGTCAGTTGTTCTGATCCCATTGACCTATCTTAATTTTGATTGCTTTAGAGGTCAGACAGAGAACCAAGAACCTTGGTCTTTTCCTAGGAAAAAAAGAGATGACGGGTTTGGGCTGTGTTTTGCTACCTAGATGCCAGTCTGGGTATTTTTACCTTGGGCTTACCAAAAAAAGTTATTAACAACCATGTGATAGTGGGGAACCAGCCTGAATACTGTGTTGCCATTGCGGCATAAAAGCAAAACTGTACCCATGGAATCCTGTTTACCTGTGCTTTAGTGCAGTTCTCAAATGTAGAGTTTAATAGCTCAGCTGCAGTTATTTTGAATTTGGAAAGGCCCATAAGACATGCAGCATCCAAAGAATTAAATCAAGTTTTCTGACATTTAAGTGCAAAATAATGACAGATGAGCATGCCTTACTTCCCTATCTCCACCCCCCCCCCCAACCTATCCCCATTACTTGATGGCTTTGCCTTTCTATAGTTTGTGTAGATTGACATTACAAACAGGATTGTCAAATCCATTTAACTCTTAAAAAAGAAGCATTGGAGATTATCTAAAATATGGCAAAAGTGCATAGGAAAAGTGTTTAATCTGATGGAATGAACCTCTGGAGTTTCCAGGTAAATTGCAGAATGGAACGTGGGTATTGACACAAGAACTCTAAACAGAGCTGATAAGAAATCCCAGTTCTCACATTTTAGTGTTAAATGTTACTAAGCAAACAAGTTCTTTCTATATATCCTTTCAAAACTACCATTGGTGTCCCTGGGATCTAAACCAATTTTAAGCAAGGGGTAAAGAACAATTATTTTGCCACTTTCTCTTTTCCAGAAAAGTTAATTTTTGGTCAAGTTAAAATGAAGGTGATTCATAAGTAAATTGAATTTTTGTTTGTTTTTCTAGCAATTATGAAGCTATCCAGTAACATACTGCTCTGTACCAGAATGAATGTATTAACTGCATTTTTATATATGGCACTTTTAATAGCTTGTCTTTCCATCTCTTTTGTGTATATGGCACCAGGCTAAAACCTTTGTATTTCCCCAATGTTTTAAGATCTGATTGTTTTAACTGGGGCTTTATTGTAAGTTGAATTTTTAGGACACTGCGTTTTATTTTATATTTTATATTGTTAAATATAAAATATTGTCTGGAGACTTTGGTAAGGGACAGTCTAGAAAAGTTAATAAAATAATAAATAAAATAAAATACAACCATGTGAATTTTATTGACTTCCTAATGCCCTGAAAAATACTCAAAGTACGTGAATTCCATTGTGCTATAATACCGAAGTGTCACATTTATACTCCTAAATGCACAGCTTATGATACACTAACGAAGGCAGCCACCTGGATCATTTCCGCAGGTTTCGAGCCTCAAAGTGCATCCATCCTGAGGAGGCCTCTGCGCAGCAGTGACAAAGGGAAGAAGTGGGAGTCGTGAAATACAACAGCCGACTTACTGCATGCAGCAGGCCATTTCTCTCACAGGCCGAGAAGGCATGAGCACAGCAAGAGGAGCAGAATCAGTTCTCATGTCTTTTCCTGGACTTCTGGACTAGGGACTATACGAAGGCAATTAGGGCCCAGGGTGACGCTGTTTCTCCATGCCTGCTTCTTATGTACCAACAGCTAAGCCATGATCACATCATTAGAGCAAGTGTGCTCCCCTTTCAGGCATCCTCACCAGTATTTATGGTCCAACAAGATTGAAAGAGGGTCATTTTTTTTCTGGCTTCCTGGCTAAGCTGTGATTTCCTCTGTCCATGCCAGTTGCGGAGGAAATCTATTTCCTATCTATTTGCACTTTACAGATGTGCATTTTATTGCCATTATTGAAAATGTTTCAGGCTATTTTAATTGTGCGCATGTATGTTTACTTTGTGAGCAGCCTTGAGCGGGTAATTTCAGGTATTTCCCTGTAGTAAAGTATAATTCTCTACACTATCCCTAAGTGGCAATTTCCAGATTCTTTTTGTGGTGCCACTGAATCCAATTTAAATCTCTAGTGACATTATATACCTAAATATAGACTTCCTCTGACTTAGTGGAACATTCCCTCCTTTTTTGGAATGTTCTTTTTCAAAATGATGAACTTCCATAAAGTTGCTTAGTACCTGATAAGACGACATGGCTGGGTACTGGACCATCATGCCTTGCACCTGATTTCCCTGTTGATTATTCATTAGGTTCTGAGGTTGGGGAGGCTGCTGTATTCCCAGGAGTCCTTGGAATCCTTGTTGTTGACTAGACAAGACAGACTGGTAACCTGAAAGAGGTGAGATATTTTCAGCACCAAAGGCATTCCTGAGTGGTCAACCCCCTGTCATAGAGCAGGTTTCTATACCTTCAATACCTCCCAGGTCCTGCTGCTGCTACAGTATTAGAAAAGGGGAAAAAAGAGACATCACTCAAGATAGCTCAACAGCAAGTGTACTGTAATCATTTTTTGCAGAATCCCTTCTCATGCAAATAAAGAGGATGAACCAACAATAAGGACAATGAAATAGAACTCTCTCTCTATAATATATGGGTTAACGCATTGTTCCAAAACAAGAAATGTAATTATTCTCTCTCTCTCTGTCTCTCTCTCTCTCTCTCTCACACACACACACACAAAGAATTTAGGCATAATGTTTTTATATTATACTCTGATATATTATCTTGGATTGGATCCAGATTGAGTCAGAGTAGACCTACTGAAATCAGTGTGAGAAATTACTCATAAGTAACTTAAGTCCCACTGATCTGAATAAATCTTAGTGTGACTATATTCAGTCCAACCTGTATAGTACTAGTGTATAGTACTATTTATTGGATTGGTCTGGATAGTCCTTACTGGAGATGTGGTGTTTTTTGGAGAATCAAAACTAAAACAACTGAAAGAAACAGAATGAAATATAGACGAAGGAAGGAAGGAAGGAGGAAGGAAGGAAGATACTAAGGAGACAAAGAAAGAAAGGTAACTAACACACAAATAGGTGAAATTACACCTTCTGTTCTGTCTGTGGACCTTTCAATAGACTTGTCAATTAAGGTGAAGTTATTTGAGGATGGGGGAAAGGATCATACCATATCAATCACAGAGACATTTCTGATATGAAACAATCCAGTTCTCCTGGCCAGATGTGCTGTGCACGCCCCGGTCTTCAGAAGAAAGTTATTAGCTCTCAGCAGAGTGACATTTCAGTGATGTTGTTTGCTTTCTATTTCCGTGCACAATTGAAAGATGCCGAGCTGATGATCTCATGAGTCGTGAGGTGTATTGAACAACAAACGACTCATGAATAGAAATTGAGCCACCATGACACTTATGTACTTTCACATGGAAATAACACAGTATTTGCTTGCTGGAGAAACTCTTATTTGCCTGAAGTATGTTTATTCACTGAGTGCCACCATAGTGTTGAAAGAATGGCAGTATGCATAATTGAATGCAGAGTGAGAGGAAGCGGGAGAGAGAGAAAGACCCCAGCAAATATGAAAGAATAAGCAGCATTTATGGGATTTTTTTTTCAGATTTCAAGCTGTCCTTGGCTCTCTGGCCGCATATTATAGAAGATTACTTTGAGGGTTCTGTATTAAAAGAATGATGACATTCAATATGTATCTGCCCAGAGAATGATGCATGAATAGAAGTCAGAGACCAGTGTGAAGTACCTTGGTCGTTTTTGCCTGTTGCTTGCAACACTTTGTAACAAGGATGTGGGAACTGCTCTGTATTGAGAGTCACTTGGGATCAGAATCCAATGTATTCAGAATGATGCACGGCAGATCCCAGGTTTGGCGCAGGGATGAAACAAGATGCATCTCCAGATGCAGGCTAGTCTGGCAAACATTTAGTCTAAACATTTGTACCAGTATTGTCAGTCATAAAAGCAGCCAAGTTACATGTGTATCTCATTGTATGAACTTCCATACAAGCTGTTGTGCTGTTGTTCTCCCTGCTTCTCCCTCAATAGCTTTGTCTGAGCAGCAGCTTGCAATAACCTCCTTCTCTTAGTTTAAGCCAATCTTTCTCTCAGAAGAAGCTCCATTCTTCCATTCACTAATCCCTGACTTTTGCTCAGTGGCCAAATTTCCATAAATGTAAAAAAAGATGAGGATGGAATAAGTCCTGCTTTGTAACAACTAGAGCGTTATCATCATCCCTTGCTTGCCATGAAATATTGCTCATGAAATACTTGTTGGAGAGTGGTTGATGCCCAGGCCATTTTGAGACAGCTGTTAAATAGCGTTCTGCATGGCATTGTTTCCCCATTTCTAGGCAGCCTGGGAAAACCTATGCAACGTGGTAAGAATAGGAGAAGGGATCTTTATACTGAAATGGGGAAAATGCCACTTTGCTAGATAGAATATAAGCAGACCGAAGAAGCAGCCCACCAGAAGAGTTCTCCTTCATGCTTGCTCTCCTGCTCATTAGCTTTCATACTACATAAAGTGTAATCCTGGCAAGCCTCTTTACTGTCTCCGGAGAACATACATACGTGGCTTACTTTCCAACAGCAGCACACATCAGATGAACCACCCTATTACTGCAAGCTCCGGGGCCTCTTTACTGCAATTATATCATCCTCCATGTTATCTCTGCTACAAAGGCAGGGTTTTTTTAATCAAGGCAAACATGAGACACATTGTTAAACGGGCAGAGGAATGAGCTGTGCACAGAATTTCAATAAGTGCCTCCAAGGAAAAAGGGCACGTTGGATTTCCTGTGTAAATGGACAAGGCTGTCATCTTACTGAGGTAATTCTCTGAACTTTTATGATCCGTATCACCATGCAGACAGTAAGGCAACTTAAAGCATTCCCGGAGGGAGAGCTGCCGTATGAAAGACCCACCACTGTTTTAATTTCTTAATGAGCCTACGGTGCTTAAAAGATAAAGAGCAGTAGTCATACACCTCCGCTGGTATTGTAACCCAGCAGTGTAATTAAAGCTGGTCTAATGATCTCTGCCTAGATCCCTTTGCAAATAACAAGTCTATTTGGGAAGTGTCAGCCTCTTTCCCACCCCACTTCTTCTAAATTTAGACAGGTGGCAAATCTGAGCCCCAAATCCTGCTCTGCTTTACGATAAAGAGGCTTTTGGTTGACACATCTCAGCTCTGCCTTTAGCCCTTGGACACAGTTTTAAGGCCTTTTAATCCCATGCACCCACACTCATAAAAAAGTAAGATTTCACCCAAGTGACTCAGAGGGATGGGCGAATCCCATTTTCAAAAGCAACATATAGATTTTTTGTCATCATGGCTTTCAGAAACACTTTTAGAGAGAGCAGCATTGCAGTGGCTCTGGTTTGATTCATTTCCATGAGTCTTGTACTATGGACACTTTTACATCGCTTTACATTAATTTTCAGCTGTTTGGGTTTGAAAGTCAGATGTGGACAACCTCAGACAACACACTCCTAGCCATATTCCTAGTTTTGCTTCCTTGGAACTGGCCATGGGGACGTGACTGCTGCAACAGAGACCTGTTCAGCCTGATTTACCAACACACTGCTTAAGGATTGTGCCAGACGGACACAGTACAAATGATAACATTTCCTTTGAGATATTTCCGATATTCGTTGTGCATTCCCATTTAGGGCTCTCCTTTTGGTGACTTCTAACATGAGCTGAATGCTAAGAGTTATTACCCAAGTCTGAAATTTCACTTTCTTCTTGTTGTATTTTAACTTGCTCTGGGAGCTACCACTATGTCTGCAGTGAAGAGAGCTCGGAGGCTGAGAAAAGTCTACCTGCAGAATCTTAGAATCTCACATCACCATCCATTATCAGTTGTCTTGTCCATTGCTAATATTTTATACAATTAGTCCCCCTCTGCTAAACTTTTAAATCAATTAAGTTATTGGTTAAAATATATTCATGGAGTTGAAAGGAATCAAAAGTCCAGCTCTTACATAGATGATATATTTGTCACTAGCCACTGCTATTCTGCACCTGAAGGTGAAGAGAAGCATCAGAGTCTTGTTGCATCCCATTCCCCCTAACAGATGGGCCTCCTAAAATGACAAGGAATGTCAACAAATGACAAAGAATTTCAACACACCTAACTCACTAAAAAGGATATGGTATGGAGGCAGTCAGTTGTTTTACAAATCTACTGTACTCGGTGAGAAAGTAGCAAATAAACATAACTCCAACAAGTTTTTTTTTTCTATCAAGGCCACAGTATCATATCACAAACTGATTTTGAAAGAGTCTGTTATCTATACAATATGTGAACTGCATATTATTATTATTATTATTATTATTATTATTATTATAACAAGGAAGCAGTAGGGGAGTCTAAGAAGGGTAGCGAAAGGATGGAGGACATGGCATGGGTAACCTTTCTCCACTGCCTGCTTTCCTGTCCCAAATTCCCTTCAGCTGTGTCTCCTCCTAGAACCTGCTAACAAAGCTCCAGAAGCTTGCGAGGATAAATACATCAGGAGTCCTGCAGAGGGAAGCCAGCACTGGTGATCTGGAACAGGAAAACATTTTCTTTCATTTCACCTGCTGTCAGGACTCAGCTGCACACATCTACACGTAACCTGCAGTTCCCTTCATTCTTCTCCAGTCCTTAGTTCTTCAGATTGAAAGACTGGGCAATTCTGTGTGAAATTCTTCCATGGGAGAATTCCTTTTATCTTACAAGGTACCACAGTGCACCTACTTTTCTCTGGTACTAATAATACCAATATTCTTTCAAATTGTGCAAGATCAAAACACCTGAAGGTTGGTGTCACTCTTATTTTCATCGAAGATTCCCACTGTTTCAAATATTGTTGCACAGATTGCAACAGCAGTGATGTTGAGGATTCTTTTGTTTAGCTAGAGCACACACAAGATCAGAGCTTTGAACTGGATTCCTAGTCTGTTTTGCTTGCGGAGCACCTTGGAATACCTTTAACTGTAAAATGTTCCTTAATTTTGATATACAAACATCCAAGACCTGTTTTCCATCATCATCATCTCATCATTTTCATCTTTATTTCCATACCACCCAATAGCTGAAGCCCTCTGGAGAGTTTAATGTATAAAACAAAACAATAAAATACTGAAATCACAAAACAATATTAAAATGAATTCAACATTAATTTAAAACAGCTAAAAACAAATATAGTAAAAAAGACTGCAAAAGAAAATAATCATCTGGATAACCCTTCAGGCCCTTGGACAACCAAGGAGATCTTTAAAGGTCTCCACATAAAGGGCTGTCTTGACCTGGCACTGAAAAGATGGTAAGTTTGGCACCAGGTGGGCTGTAGCAGGGACACAGT